TTCCCCCCCCCCCCCCCCCCCGAGAGGCGTGCAAGGCATCTAACACTCCTTGTAGTGTATTCTCATTTTCACATACTTATATCTTCATTCAAATGAGAGAGAGAGAAAGAGAGAAGGCCAAAGTAAATGTATTACTTCAAAAAAGATGAAAGTGAATCTGGGTTGACTGTGTTGACATAGCCCAAAAGTTTGGATGAGCCATGGTTAAATTCAGGGTGTCTACTTTGCTCTATTTATCCCTTCTAACTTTATTATTTATTTCCATTAAACCCCGACACCTAACACATTTGCATATGAGGAATATACTCACGTTCTCTGTTTGCTCATATAACATATCAGGCCAGAAATAAATACAGTGTGCCCCAAGCTAAGCCTTCCAAATGACCTGAAATGAACAAGTGAAAAAAAAATCATTTATACACACACGCACAATTATATACTCCATATGTCATAAAAAAACATTGTTTCACCGAGGTACAAGTTTTAAATTTTAGAAAGATGCAATTATTGAAAACCATCAATTTTAGCTATCTTTAAAATTTATTTGTTAGTTTAACTAAATTTTAACATACTTAACTTGTTTTATCCAATAAACATTGGATAAAATGGAACTTAGTTTTCTTGTTCAATTGGACATACGTAAGTCTTCAATGAAGGCTCCCTTTTTTAGGATAGAGTAATATGAGGGGCAGCTGGTGGGATTCAACTGGGCTGTTGTTTGTAGGGCAGCACAGCTGATTTGAAATGTAAGAAATACACCGCAACTTCAATACTGATATTACAAATATTCTACCTACCAGGATCCTACAAAATGTAGCCTTGCCCAAACTGCACCTGTTGCATCCTCAATTTTCAAAGAGAATGTTTGTTCTCCCATACTTCGGATGTCTTTAACATCTCCATAGAGGCTGATTCCAGTCATCTTGTCATGCAGATCTGTAACAAACGACTGCAGGATTTAAACATGTAAGAGAAGTTGACTACAAATTGTTTCCAACAGATCCTTCCATTTGGCATTAACTTTGTAAGCTTACTAATCCTTACACATTGAAAATTTTATTTTTGAGTAAATTATATAAAAGGTCCCCAGTTATAGGTCGTTTTACATATTTAGTCCCTACATATCAAATATTACTAATTTAGTCCCCAATTATTATATTTATTTCCACGAATGGTCCTTTGTTAACATTTCCGTTAAGAACGTGGATAAAATTGTATATTCATACTTCTCTCTCTCCTCAATTAAGCTTTTTTCATCTTCTCATACTCTTTCCCAAACTCGTTGCTGAGTTTGAAGCTCTTAAACCCAAAATTTAAATGATCGTTCCTCCAGTTAGACAAACAATTGAGAGAAGAGTGATGATTTTGGTTTAGGGTTCAAAGCTAGAAACTCAGCGACGGGTTTGAGAAAGGAGTACAAGGGAGGAGAAAGCTTAATTGAGGAGAGAAAGGAGTGTGAATTTATAATTTTATCCACGTTTTAATGAAAATGTTAACAAAGGACCATTCGTAGAAATAAATATAATAATTGGGGACCAAATTAGTAATATTTGATATGTAGGGACTAAATATGTAAAACGACCTATAACTGGGGACNACCCAAAATTTAAATGATCGTTCCTCCAGTTAGACAAACAATTGAGAGAAGAGTGATGATTTTGGTTTAGGGTTCAAAGCTAGAAACTCAGCGACGGGTTTGAGAAAGGAGTACAAGGGAGGAGAAAGCTTAATTGAGGAGAGAAAGGAGTGTGAATTTATAATTTTATCCACGTTTTAATGAAAATGTTAACAAAGGACCATTCGTAGAAATAAATATAATAATTGGGGACCAAATTAGTAATATTTGATATGTAGGGACTAAATATGTAAAACGACCTATAACTGGGGACCTTTTATGGAATTTACTCTTTATTTTTACATGTTATGACATATTGAAAATTCCCCTCAATCCCATTGAAAAGTTAGTTTACAATGAAACTTGAAAAGTAAAAAATGTGGTTGAAATTTGTTTAGAAAAGAAAAGTACTTTGAGCAACGTATTCCTTACCAAAAAGAAAATAAGAGAAGGGTAAACTTTCTTTTGGAGCGGATGAAAAAGAAAGTGTAAACTTTCTAACAAGGCAGAAGAAGTATTATCCTTGAAATGAAACTTTTGGGCTATGTTGGACTCCGGAATGTCTAGGAAATGGAAAGCAAATGCTAAGGAAAGTTGTGTTGTTATCTTTGGTTTTACCGTGGGAAATGGAAAGAAAAATGAAATGCGAATAACTTTTTTGAAATTTTTACACATCTAGATTTCACATTTCCAATGTCTAATAGAAAATAATAAACAAAATGACTGAACAAATATCTTTTAAAAATTACTCCATCTGTCCCACTATTTTTGGGACATGAGGGAGTGGCACAAGATTAAGAAAAGTATCCGTAAGAAAAAGTAAGATTAAGTGAGAATGAATGTGAACTGCACAAATATGACACAAAAATAGTGGGACAGACAAGGTACAACAACAACCCAGTAGAATCCCGAGGAAGTAGGACCTGGGGAGGGAGGGTGTATTTACGCAGACCTTACCCCTACTTGAAAGTAGAGATGGACAAGGAAGGTAAAGAAAGAAAAATATTGGGGCGGAGGGAGTATAAGTTTGATTTCATTTTTTATTTTCTGCCAAAATTTCTTCCATTTCAGTTTATTCGCTATTCTCTTTCCCTAATATATTCCAAAATTCCACAGAGAGCCTCAGGGAATGTTAACTTACCCGGAAGGGATAATTTCTGAAGTCAATGGACCCTTGAGAGTCACACGGCAATGACACTTGTGAAACTGAAAGTCCCTGCGCTGGATCTGATTCTGTTAACAGCTTTGATCCTTGGCAACGATTCTGTGTCAATGCTACACATACCTAAAAAGGCCTTAGGGTTACTGAATTTTCCCCTAAAAGAAACGGTTTAAATGCTCTCTGACGTAAAAATACAGAGTAATCCGCATCATACTTGTTCTTTATGCTGAATAAGAGGGACAACATAGAGCTGGGTCTCACTTCCATATTCAAGGCATAACTCTTCATTTGAGTCCAGGCTGCTTTCAGCAGAACTGGCTATAAATGGTCTGTCCATGGCAAGCATACTTCCAACACTGCCAAAGAAACTAAGTTTTAAATTTGTAGTATGTACAAGGCAACACAGAGTGAAAAGAATATGAATAGTATTACCTAAAAAGATTAGAAAACAAAACCTGCTCACCCCACAGTAGAAACTTCAACCTGACACCATCATTATCAACAAGAGTGATTTGTTTTCTCTGTAAACTGCCATGTATGCCTTGAACTTCCATTGAGCCAATGGATTCTATCCTGCAAACATTTGGTTATAGTGGATATTAATAGCCATAATAGGGAAAGGAACTTTTGAAATATTCCATGTTGGCGTACTGGAAACGAACAGAATTGGCATAAATTCTCAACATTCAAAATAGTAGTACACATTTTAAAATAGTAGTAACATTCAAAATTATAGATGAGGGATACACTAGATATAGTAGTTCCTTAACCTGTAGGCAAGATTTTAAAACGACAATTATTTTGAAATGGCATGAGTATACATAAAGGCATGTTTTCATATTGACAATTGTTGAAGGAGACTAGTAGTTTTTTAATCCTATGTTTTTAACTTTTATCATGGTTTTAGAAGGCGACCGAGGCGAGGCGGTTGCATTTCGCCTCTAAGGCTTAAGCCTCAATAGGGATACCTGAGGTGTATGCCTCACAATGTTGAGGCAGTCTCAGGCACTAAGGCGTAACTGAGGCGTAAGCCTCACTTTTAATAAGAATTTCAACAATTCCAAGGGTTATTTTAGGAAGCTATTGGGCCTATTTTACAAAAACTCTTTTGAGCCAATGCACTATATAGTTTCTCTATAAAAACTTAATGAACCTAGTAGATGATTAACACTTCTTTCCAAGACTTTAGTGTCAACTTTCGTCTCTCCATCTTCAGACTTCAGTGGCACAATTTCACTCTTGTGGTAGCCGCTAAGGCAATTGCTTCATATTAAATAGCTTATCTTCTATTTCTTTCATCTTCTTCTTTCAACTTTTAATTTTTTCGGTTCCTTCTTTTCCAACAATCCTCTCCCTCTTTTAAATTCAGTTCAAAATTCAAAGAATGATGTAACCTTTTTTTGCATGAACTTTTGTCCATATTTAATACTCTCTCCGTCCAAAAATTTCTTTCACGGTTTGACTTGGCACGGAGATTAAAAAAGCTAAAAGCGTAAAGACTTACCATGTGTTGCCCTTGATGTCATGGAATAAAGTGAATAGTGTAGAGAAAAAGTAAGGGTATAATGACACATTCATTAAAAAAATTTTGCCAAAATAGGAAACGGAAAATAAATTTTTGGACATCCCAAAAAGGAAAGTGAGAAAGAAATTAATGGACGGAGGGAGTATTTATAAGGTTTGAAGATGGGTTTGAGACATTTGTGTTTTATGTTACCGTGTTTAACTTTTATAATTCTATTATTTTTTGTGTTTTAAAAATTAAGATGGGGTTTCATTTTTTGCAAAATTCAGGAATTATGATTTTATCATTTATTTCACATGAAAATGAATTATACAATTCATTTTACCTTGGCGTACATATTTTAGTATTATTTTCTTTCCAGATTGAACTGAGGCTTACGCCTTTCAAAACCTTGACTTTTGTAAGGACATCATTTCTAGAAAGTTGTTTCTTTCAAACTCTAGATCATACAAATAGCTCAGAGAGAAGAGCGCATTGAAGATAGATTACCACACCTTGCATATAGTGAATAAGCGACCCCTTGATTAACTTCATCAAGACAAATGGAAGAGAACGAGTCAGAACAAAATTGTGCACCTAGCATTATTGCATCATCATCTTCATCCTACATTGATGGTCAAAAGTTATTAAGCACCTTCAGCAATGGTATAACAACACTATTTCAAGAATTTACACATACAATACGAAAACATAAATTACCACACCTTTCTGTTCAAACTTTAGGTATAGGCATAATAATAAGGATTTGCAGCATGTACAAGTTTAGTAAACAAAATTTTGGCCAAAAATAGAGAGAGAATTGAACAACTAAAATCCACAGTACTTCATCTAAAAGTACAACAAGCCAAATAATAATGAAGGGGAGATAACTAGTCCTTTCATTAACTACTAAAATCCATATACCTCGTCTAAAATTATAACAAGATATTCAGTGGGCAAAAGACGTGCACGACTTGAAAATCCTTTTGTAGTTCTAAGGCGGCATCCTGTAAGAAACACTTCACGCCCCTTCTTTAATATACCATTGCTAAGATCCGCCAAGTGGTAGAACCTGCTTTGGAGTACAACATAGAGGTCTGAATATGAGCACAAATATATACATGAACAATTTTTTACACCAAAATAAATTTCAAAAAAGACTCGTCTCAGTATCTAATCAGCTTCACTTTTAAGTATTGCTCTTTTTCTCCATGTACAAGAGTACAATTTATGTGGAAACTAGCATAACACACCACTTCCAGTGTCAAACTCACTGGATTCCAAAATAGCTTCTCATCTGCATGTCTAAATCATTTTCAAGGAGGAAAAAACATAGCAAACTATTTTTAAGGAGCAACTAACATAAAAATTAGGAACTCTCGATAGGGTTTCTGTTAGCCATTTCCTCCACTCTCACTCATAAAGGCCAAACCACGGGTGCTGAATTTTTTATTGGGCTAGAGTGCAAGATACGAGACATAAGACTATATGTGTTAAAATTCCGTTGGGCCGAGAACAAAAGGCAAAGTGTCAGGTAAAATTAACCACTTGCACTTAAAGTTGGGATACATTTTCTAACCCAAAAGCTTAAGCTGACAGGTAGGGCTTCATCCTTCTATATATGAGAGTGGTATTCATCTTTATTTTCTGATGTGGGAACTCCAACACTCCCATCAAGTGATAACTACTCTGGCTTAGTTAGCACTTGGACAAACGGGTCTAGCATCTAAATCTCTGATAGCTAGCCCACACAACGGGCGGTGGTGGCTCGATCTCTTATAGCCACCTCAACCCAAACCACGGACGAGTAGCTCATTTTGCTAAACCCACGTCCAAAAAACCACGAAGAATCGAACCCAGACCCCACCTCCTCTGGTACCATGTTAAAATTTTGGTGGGCCGAGAACAATGGGCAGAGTGTCGGGTAAAATTAAACACTTGCATATAAAGTCGTGATCCACTTTATAACCCAAAAGCTTAAGCTGATAGGTAGAGCTTCACCCTTCTATATATGTTATTGATATTCATCTTTATTTTTGAGCGCCAACACATAAAGGACCACGGTCGTTGGGTATGAATTTCCAGACAAGCAGTCTGGTTAAACATGCCACAGGTTGTCAGATATACATTCCACATGAACAACTGGGCTAATGAAAAACGGGCCGCTGGGAATGAACGTCTAAACAGACACTTTGACAAACGAGGTGGGCCAAAACCTGCTTTGATACTAATATACCATGATAGAATTTTGAATGGGGTAGGGATAATTGGATTGGGCAATAAAATATTTGGGTGAACCATATTAAAAGATTAAATTCAATCAATTACTTAGTTCAACTCAAGAGTTTATATAGCAATTATTTTCTTCTCACTTTTCCAATGTGGGATACTCTCTAATAATATGAAAATAAATCCACTTAAGTAATTGAAGGTATGAAAGCACATCTTAGGAAGCTTAAACAGAAAAAATCAATGGAATTCAATTCCAAGAAGAACCTAATGATAAATTTATAGAGGTAGTATGGCATTCAAGAGGCAATAGATTGATCCCTTCCTTCCACCTCGACAGCACAAGAGAATTGAAAATGGTGATGTGATTATGGAAAGGAGGAAAAGGACTATTATATGTTGAAATTTTAAGTTTGAAAATGGAGAGCAACATCAATGTGAAACTTGAGATGTAAACATCATCAATTTATCATCAAGCATATCTCCTTCACTCACTCACCTTCGGTGAAGATACAAATCAATTGTGTTAGAGCTCCAAACATCTCCAAGGTGAAGCATGTATATATTTGTTCCTGGGAAGATAGTATGTCAACATTGATTGCCACAATGCATCTAAAGAAAAAAATAAAAACTGAAGTACCACCATATATTTGAATAATGACATAAACTCATTTGCAGCTCCACTATTGTTCAATTAAAACATTCTAATAGGCCCAATGCTTCTTATGTCTAAGGCAAGTAAGTATGATTGTATTAAACTGCAAAATACATAAGGGTATAGGAATTTTTTCACACTAAGAATCTTCTTTTTAATGTGATATTAGGGAAAAACAAAAACTAGTCCATGTGGAAAATTTCATCTGCAGACTTTGAGAGTTTACAACAATAGAAAAAAGCAAGTATAGTCGTAACTCCATTGAGGCAAGATGTACACAGCCTTTAAAAACAGAAAGTCTGCTTCTGTTAGAGTGTTAGACCCTTGATGCATTGCTACATTTGCTAACCAAAATGTCATAGAAAGTAAGAAGCAAAAAAAAAAAAAGTATTAATTTGATTTAGGCCATTATATACGTGAAGTTAAACCATTTTCAACAATGACTCTTTTAGCTCCAATGACTGTGTTAAACCATTTTATGTGCGTTGTCTGCATGCGGCGGAGATGCGGATGTTACGATGTATGTGTGGGAAGACAAGGTTGGATAGGATTTCAAACGAACTTATCCAACGTCAGTTAGGCATGGCGTCGGTGGAAGATAAGTTGCGGGAAGCGAGGTTGAGATGGTTTGGTCATGTGAGACGGCGGAATGCTGACGCCCCTGTACGGAGATGCGAGAGGATTACGGTTGTCGGGGGAAGTAGGGGAAGGGGTAGACCTAGGAAGAATTGGAAGGAGGTGATTAGGCAGGATTTAGGACTTCTCAACCTGACTAAGGATATGGATTTAGATAGGAACCTTTGGAGAACTGGGATTAGAATAACTGGATAGGGGACCAGTGCTTCAGAGGTTTTTTGTAGTGTGTTTTGTTTGGTTGGAAATTTTTGCTATTGCTTGCAGGACTTTCATTCCATTGTACTTGGTGCTTTATCTGTGTTATACTATGATTCTTATCATTTTTTGTGCAGTTGGAGCCGAGGGTCTCTTGGAAACCGCCTCCCTACTTCCGAGTAGGAGCAAGGTCTGCGTACACAAACCCTTCCCAGACCCTACTGTAGTGGGATTCAACTGGGTTGTTGTTGTTGTTGTTGTTGTTAGCTCCAATGACTTCTTGAGTTTGAATTCAAAACAATTGAATCCAAGCTTTTAATCATGAATCTAGATTGATGATGGTGAATTATACATATTACAGGCTGCCAAGCAGCCATTAGAACAAAAATGGTAAAGATGCAGAAATATTTCACAGAGAACAATTGACTCTAAATCAGCCTTCATCAATCATGCAAATAGCATGAAGTTTAGCATGTGGATCATATCAAGGCCATATGATGCTGGGCAGACGGTTGAACTTAATATCAACTTCTCTACCTGGAAGAATTGCAACGTCTATGATAACAGCTTCAATAACACTATTCAATGACAAGAACTTTTTCTCATAGACAGAGTCTATTGTGACAGTGTTTGGTAGCTTTCCCCTCTTATGTTTCTTCCTCAGCTGACTAATACACTCTGGCTGTTTCTTTGGAGCACCACTCCTACTCTGTTCATTCCAGGCCTGAATAACATCCAAAAATTGACAACAATCACTGTCGAAGCACTTAAATTTCATAAGAAGAGTTTTCAATAGAATACTGATCATTTTGGCAGCAAAAAGTGGTAAACATATATTCGTCAGCTTATAATAATCTAACAGCTTAAAAAGAAACGTTTATGCAACTCATAAACTCTGTGATGCGAATATAGAGATACAAATCGAAAGTTGAAACACATATAGAGCTACACAAGAAATGTATATACACAATAAACAGTTGGTAGACCAAATAGGTGAATGAAATTGAAGCGAAATGAAGAGTGTTTGGCGGTGGCCACCTGAGATAGTTCCGACAGGAGAATGGCAGCTGTGACGCCGCTGGAGTAGGCTGTGCACGTTTTGAGGATTCTGGAAGCAATCCAGCTCCAGCCTGGCCCCATTGATTCCCCTCCGTCTTCTTCATTTGCAGCAGGGGATAAGATTGATTTCGCGTAGTCGATGAACTGAAGAAACGGGTCCTCCTCTTCGCCGTGCAATGGCGGATCAATTTCCATGGCTGAGATGTTGTCCCCGTCACCGAATCGGTCAGATATCTTATGATTGTGTCGTTACCTACTTACGTGTTGTCAAATGTTAGGGATAAGTCGAGTTTGTCAGTGGGAGCGAATTGATAAATTGAAGAACCCTAAAAATTTGTAGCCCGGTGGCGGGGATTTAAAATATCCCTATAGTCCTACTCCAATTCATATTCATTTTATATGCAATTTATAAATTAGTATACTCATTTTATATTCATTTTATATGCAATTTACAAATGTCTATTTCCCATTTTATATTCATTTTAGAATAAGTATCACAATTAAAACTTATTACATTATTTGTGTTTTATTTTTTATTGTAGATAAATCTTGTATTTCACTCTTATGTTATTTTCTTCATACTCTGTATATTATTAGTTGAAACTTACTATTTAATTATTTGAGAGTCATTGATTCATCATTATTTTTGTTAGTATCTTAAATTTTATGTCGTCTTTAAAATTTTAAATATTTAATACATTTAGTCTGAAAATTTCATGAATACTTTTATTAGTATTCAAACTTGAATTTGTCCGTTACTGACCTGATTGAATCTTAAATTAAATATGAACCGAAATAAAAACCAACTAAACTCAAACTAACATTTATTCTTTTATTAAAGCTTCAATTTATATCAAGAGCATCATTCCTTCAATTTGAAAATTAGGAAGTAGCCTCCCATAATTTTTTAATTTTTAATACATGAGACTATGTAGTATGGGACGCCACTTGGAGGTCAGAGATGGTTATCGGCCGTCGTATTTCCTCCGTCGTGGCACATCAATCGTGATGGGGGTGTGACCCCGTAGGGATGCTGAATCTCATCGAATTAGGGGATTTTGTATTTTTATTTCTAATCAATCAAATTAATGTATAACTCCACACATATCACTCTCAATCACCCCATGACTCAACACATTTTTAATCCTTCCATGTCATACACTTCCACATTCTATCACCATACGGCACAACCTAAGGAGTAATTCATAATGCTTGGCATTTGAGCATTACCATATTCTTAGAAATAACATTTTTTTAGAAATAAATTTCCATATAAATAAAAATTGAAAAATTCACCAAAGCAATTAAAATCGATCGATTGGTTTACCGAATTTGCCAAGTGAATCGATTTCAAACCGATTTTCTTTCGCTCGTAAAAATGATCGACTTTCAAAGTTCATTGAACCAACTCTTTAACTGATTTCATGTAAAATCGTTTGAGGCGATTGGCCTGGTCTGGTTTTTTAAGCATTGCCAATGTTACCATTTTGCATTTTTATGTAAATAATTTTTTTTAGGTATGTAGTTTATTACTGCATTACTTATTGTCAAACCTGAGTTTTGGTATCTCAAAAAATGTATACTCCGCATATTATTCACTTGCACTTGGCCTTACTTATGTGTGTATGTACTTCTCTGTTTGAAAATCGTGTAGTTTTTGTTCTAATACACTCTTTTGTCTTTTTTTTAGGAAAATGCTAAAACCCCCCACCCTTGTTACCACCCATGCCCCCTACATAAACATGTGGTAGGGAGGCAAGAAAATTAAAATTAGAGGGTGGGTGGAGAATGGGTAGAGATAAATATGTGGTGGAGAAATGGGTGGAGGCAAGGTTGGTAGCAAGAGTGGGGGTGTGTAATGCATGTTTGCTTCATTCACCCGTTTTCATTCACCAATTAGCTAGAAGCTAGCTATCTTCCTTGGGGATTCACTATCTGAGAAAATATTGCATCTTGAGACTCATCCTCAACATCGCTCTCCTCTTCAATGCTCACTAACCCGACATGTGTGGCATGAGCGTTGTTGACCTTCTGCTCTGCCACCACTTTGGGGCTGTCCGGGTCGATCTGCATATGCAAGGAGAGTTCGAGGTTCCACAGGACAGACCCCATCGATGGCCGGTGGATTCCCTGTTCGGACACGCAACTCAACGCAATTTCGACAAAGTTCTTCAAGCACTCCGGCGTAATATCCCCTCTTATATAGGGGTCAACCAGGGTCTCAACCATCCCCTTTGCGTGGCATTGGAATGCCCAGTCCACGAGGGTGACATGCTCGCTGGCGTCTAGCGCCGGCCTGCCGGATATAACTTCAAAGAGGACCACACCGAAGGAGTAGACGTCGGACTTGTCTGTGAGCTGTTGTCTCCTAAAGTACTCCGGATCCAGGTACCCGAAACTCCCCTTCACCATTGTGCTGACGTGAGTTTGATTCAGAGCAGGGCCAGTCTTGGATAACCCAAAATCCGACACCTTCGCCACCCATTGATCGTCCAAGAGGATGTTTGTAGTCTTCACATCCCTATGGATGATTGTTTGCCTATTAAATATTCAGAACCCTACCTTAGTTAGGGCCATGTTAGTAGATACAAAAATACAAATTTTATACTTCGCATATAATGATTGAGAATATTTTCAAGAAGTGTACCGTGCACCAGTGTGAAGGTAGTGAAGCCCTCTGGCAGCGCCAATGCAAATCTCCAGCCTCTGCTTCCATGAGAGGGGAGGATTGTTGTGCTTGTAGAGGTGCTCTCTCAAGGTCCCATTGGCCATGTAATCGTACACAAGAATCATCTCGTCGCCTTCTTCGCATGCTCCGATCAGAGACACCAAGTGCCGGTGTCTCAGCTTGGAGAGCAGTTCGATCTCTGTTTGGAACTCATGGGCTCCCTGTTGAGAAGACCGGTTCGATCTCTTTATCGCCACCTTCGTGCTCCCTCCGTCGATCTCCCCCTGGTACACTTTCCCGAACCCGCCGATGCCGATTACCAGAGACTCACTGAAGTCGCCTGTGGCGAGTTTGATCTCCGCCAGGGTGAAGTGCCTGCACATGCCTCCGCCGAGGTTTGAGATCCGGCTGCTTGCGCTGCTCTTTCCGGACAACGTCGTCGTTCCTCCACTTGATCTCGAGCTTCCGTACATCGGCAGCCACCCTCTCCCGCTGGAGTTTCCTCCGCCGTCGCCGTCGCCTCCTCCTCCTCCCCCCGAAACTTCCCGCCTCTGCAGAGCCACTAAACAAATGACTACGCCGAAGCCAGTGGCCACGCCGAGGACCGACCCAACTATTATGCCCCGGCGACTGGCGTCCGAATGAGCGAATGATCCGGGCCCGGGGGAGTTCGGATCCGGGACGGGCGGCGGCGGAATCGGGTTTGGACCTGCTAGGGTTTCCCTAGAATCGTTCAATTTGAAAATCTCTAGCCCGTTGAGGATCGCGTCGTAGAATTGGGGTTTGGAGTCTCCGTTGGGATGCAAAGCCACCCACAGCTCATCATCATCATCGCCGCCGCCTTCTTTGTCTTTGGCATAGATCACAAAATCCTTGTGGATCCGAATGCCTCGGCCTCCGCCCCATCCAATCACATCCGCTTCTGCAATGGCCGTCTGGTTATTGATGTAAACATAGAACACCCTCTGATTCACTTTGCTCAACTGGTACTCACAGAAATGCATCCTCACTAGATAACTGAAATTCGCATCAATCCTGAAAACCCAAGTGAGATTATAGTGTATATTCACATTTGCAGAAGGCCCCATTGTTCTTGAAGATTCATAAACATCTAAAGGAGCAATGTAATCTGGAGAATTTGGGGAGTACTGAATTGTTACGCTCTTGTTAGCCCTGCTGGTGACCCCTGAAGCCGCGCCAAACAAGTATGGAGAATCGTCGTACCATGTTCTGGTAAGCCCAGAATCATTGCTGGCAGAAATAAACTGTCCGCCGACATTCAGCCTATACATTGATTGCATATAGTAAGACGTCGTGTCGATGGAGTCCTGAGCCAGCCCAACCGGAGTGGCTGATTGGAAAATTTCCGGCATGGGAATTACCTCAATGCCATTGATGAACGCGAAGGAGCCATTGTATTCTTTTGAAGGGGTGAAAGTGAGGTTAAGGAGTGGAAACCCTGGAGGAGGAAAGGTGAATTCCCTGATGATATAAGCCTGCGAGAGTGCCTGGGCTGTGATTGAAGCACTGAAATTACTGAGCAGAGTAAACCCGCCGATTTTTACCGAGAAGAAGGAATTAGAGCAGTTGAAATTGTTGCTGTAAAAAGAAGGGTAGAAATGAAGCCTGATCCAATGGCGAGAACCAGGGGAAACAGGGAAGGAGTATGTGGATTCTGTCATGAGGATTCTTGCTGTCATGTAAGGGACAGTTGAGGATAAAGAAGGGTCTTGGTATTCTGCTGTGGCTGACATCGTATCGTTCGGAGAAGAAGATGATCTCAGGAATTTCTCGTCTGGAATCCAATATGTGCCATCTGGATCGCTTGCATTGCTTTTAGTGCCACAAGCCAAAACGAAACCGTTCAAATCTCCTCCCCTTTTATTTCTTGATATTGCGTTGATGCTGGTTGCAATACAAGGACTCACAATTCCCAGAAAAAAGATATGGGTTATTACGATGTTCATTACGGTTACGAACACCCTTTAGATACGATGGATTTCAAGCATGGAATCATCAGAGAATAAACACAGATCTTATGGGAAATTCAATTCGTTGAAGAGAAAATGATGATGGGAGAACATAGTACCATGGGGGATAATTCTTGAAACCGATCTTGGGAATTCATGCAGTATTAGAGGTGCAGATGATGCATTGCAGAGGAGATGATAGTTATGATGATGATTTATCAGCTGTAAGTGCTCTGGATGGATCTTCAAGTGTTTCTTTGGTTTTTCTCTATGATTATTCTCCCCTTTTTTATTGATTCTTTGTCTGAGTTTTTGTTTTTGTTAAGGATAGGATGAGAGAATGGCGCTGCAAGACGGGAATTGGTTAGAGAAGAATGGCGGAAGAGTAACTTCTTCTAGCGGCTGCTTTTTTGGCATTAATGAGTGTGTTAATTAAAGTCGGAGAGTAACATTCATGATTTCACTAAATTTAGAAAAAATGTTAGAAAAGGATAGCCACACCCCACCAACTTACTAAATTCACCCTGTATACTAATTTCATTTTGGTTATTTTCTAAACTATTTTTAAGCTTGTGCTTCACATGGATTCTTATATATTCTAATAAAGTTTTTACTATATAACATATTGGTAAACTTATATTCTGAATGAAAATATAATTTTTTTATTTTAATTTTCTAATAAATATTAGTACCCTTTATCTAAATCTTTTTTTTGTAAATAAGACATGATATTTTTTAAAACAAAAGTTATAGTGTTAATAATGATGCACATTTATTACATTTCAAATAAAACTTTGTTTTTGAAAAGTAATACTCCGGGGTATAAAGGAAAAAATGGTGTTGTTTTAAAATTTTATATAATGCTTTGTGTTTTCTTAAAAAAGTATAATGAAACTTACATAATGTTCTTTTTAAAATAACAATGTAGATTAAAAAATTAGAATAGAGAAATACATACTGATATACGGAGTAATACTTAGAAATGAAAAGTTTGTACAAAATGATTGGTTTTCAAATTTAAGAATAATGAAAGTTATTTTAATCAATGAATAGTTAAAATAATAGCTTTAAAAAATTTTAAATTTTTTTTAGAACTCATATAATTTTTTTTGAAAAGCAACAAACTTAAAATAAATGGTAGGTAATGCTAAAAATATATTTATAATGTTTGCTTTAAATTAATAAAGGGTATATAATACTCTTTAAAAGTTTAAATAATACTACCTCCGTCCCGCTATATTCGTCCACTTTTGACTTTTAGAACTGTTCATCTAAGCACTTTGACTCATCAAATTCTCTCAATGTGTAAGCCTAAATATAGTCATGTGTGATCTTGTTTGATTTGTCTTAACATATAGATTATTAATATATAATTTCTATAATTTTTTAATATACAAATTACAAGATAAAATGAATTAAAGAAGTGTATTGGATGGTGTGCAAAAATGAAAGTGGACAAATATAGTGGGACGGAGGGAGTAACATAATTATACACCATGGGGTGTTTTTAGTTGACATTGTGTATTTGTGTTTTAACTAGCGTGACTATCACAACACCCTTCAAAAATGTGAAATTCTCCCCCGGCTTGAGTATTCTAAAGCTCACAACCTAAGATGTATTGAGAAATTCACTCAGGTTCGAGCTCAGCAAAGGCAAATACATCAACTCTTTATGTGTTATTAAGTTGAAAAAAATATATAGTACTCCATCCGTTCTATAACTTTCTTCCCACTTCCCTTTTTTCCCGTCCTAAAACTACTTTCCCATTAGAAAAAAAAATGACAAATGACATTAATACCTTTATGTATTTAAACCAATTATCTTCTAACTCTATATTTTGAATGATTGCAAAAAAAATTCAAAAAATCTTTTTTAAGGAGGGTAAAATTTGAAGTCAAAACCAAAAATTAAAAATGGAGAAAAGTCAAACTGGGAAGAAAAAATTAGGACGGAGGGAATAATAGAGTTAATAACACAGTTTAACACTCCAAAAAATTCAAAAAATCTTAAGGTAATACTCCCTCCGTTTTTTAAAAGTGTTCCTATTTTGACTGTGTAAAAATAAGGAAGTGTTAAATTGTAGTTGACTTCTAATTTTACCCTTGATGTGATGGGTAAAAGTAAGATGTGATGGATAGATTATTAGAGAAAAAGTATGATGTGATAGGTAGGGTATGAAAAAGTAAGGGTAAAAGTGGTTTTTTAATAGAAAATGAAAGTGTTTTGTTGAAAGTGAAAAAAATGAAAGAGAAAGTATTTTTGAGAACGGAAGGAGTAGTACCGGATCACGAACTCGGGGTGTCCGATCAAACCGCAAAAAAGTAGGTTTGGGCTAGACAATTTAGAATACAGGTTGGGCTCGGACTTTATAAATGGTGGCCCATAGACTTTAGGACCCCGTAATGCCGAGTAGCTCCAAAATTGCGTGTGCCCCAACCAATAGGGCATAGCCCCATCAATAATGATAATTTTACTACCTCCATAGTTGTACATAGACCTGGCAAAATTTGACCCGACCCGTTACTAATCCGAAACCCGACTCGAAATTAGCGGGTTTTGAACATTGATTTTGCGACTCGAAACCGAAATGACCCGAACCCGAAGACCCGTTAAATTTTCGGGTCAGAACGGGTCGGGTCGGGTTTGACCCGACGGGTTATGCACTTAATTGTTTATTTTTATTAGTTATTTAGTTTTATATATTAATTTAAAATATGATATACCCATTAGGCTACTCAAAACTCAAAAGGCGTAAAACCTAATCTAAATCTAGTGACATTCCAGTCTCTCTCTCCCTTCTCTCTCTCTCTTTATGTGTGTGTGTGTGTATCGTTCTTCCACTCTTCCACCATTCGTCGATATTAGATGCCGACTCAATCAAAATGGTGAGAAGACACAAGAACAATGGTAGAATTTTTAATCTTATTTCATCCTTTTCAGTTGCTCCTACGTGTAACTCAAATTTTAATTCTTTACTTTTGTTTTGGTATTGCGCAAGAATTTCAATTTTTTTCATCTAGTGCAATTTTTTGGTATGCTGCAAAAAGATGATTTTTTGGGCATATTACAATTCTCTTTTGGTATGTTGCAAATAGAACTGCAAACTTTTATGATTTCGTTCTTTGTTTTGAATAATGCTCGGATCACATGATCTCTAAATAGAAAAATTTTTAATTTTTAAATACGCTTCTTAACCCGTCGGGTCAACCCGAACCCGATAACTCTGGGTCATGAACAAACACTCTTAGACCCGAACCCGAAATGACCCGAACCCGAAATAACCCGAACCCGATTATACCGAACTCGAACCCAACCTGACCGACCATTTTGCCAGGTCTAGTTGCTTGTACATTGCCCTATAATGAGAGCTTGATGATTGTAAATGGGTCTCCAATTATGGTACGCCGTGTGGGACAATGGGTGATAAAAATTGAAAAGACAGCCTTGCCCCATCTTCTCCAATACATTAAAATATTTTATTTCAAATAAAATACTTCAATATTTTATTTAAAAAAATGGACATACTCACTCCGTCCAGAAATATTCTTCCCATTTGACTTTTCTTAGTCAAAGCTTGTAAACTTTGACTATGATATGTGGAAAAAATACATTGTATTATGATATAAGTTTAATATGAATATATTTATTTTGAAATATAGTTTTCAAATATCAAATTTTCATAAAATATATCCATGTATAAATAAAGATATTAGTGGTTAAAGTGTCATCTTGGAAACCGTAAAATATCAAATGGAAGAACATTTCCAGACGAAGGAAGTAGCAATTTCTTCATCAAAATTTTCTTCAATTTAAATGCTAGTATTTAAATATTTAAAGACATAATATTAAAAATTCTACAAAAACGAGATGAAATAATTTTATTATTTCGAGTATCAAATAATTAAAGATAAAGTTTAATTGGTACTCTCTCCGTCCTAGAAAGAATTTTCTGTTTTGATTAACGTGCAAAACCCCGTAGATTTTAAAATGATTTTATTTGAAAATTGGTAAGGAAATAACACATAAAAAAATTATATTTAAAAACTTCATCGAAAACTCTACAAAATAAGAGGCGACAAAAATATTTTATTTTATCAAATGATCAATGAAAACACGCAAACAAATTGGAGTTATCGAGAGACCGTAATAATAAATTGGAAAGACTTTTTGGGACGGAGGGAGTAGATTTGAGGGATAGTGATGCTGGGCATATGCCAACCACACATAGTCCCAGGGAAAGGTTCATGCATCCATGAAGGATGGATATACGGAATACATAATTTACAGTTTATTCTTTCAAAATTATGACTCCAATCAAATCAACCCCATCACAAAAATAAAATAAAAAAACTGCATTTTGCTGCAAAAAAAAAGAAGATGAAATCAAACATATCTTCTTCTTCTTCGCCTCATAATTTTATTTTCCAACGGAAATTCAAATTCTCTATGAGTTCGAAGAGTGACTGAGAACCACACATTTTGTTTCTTCTCATTGTTTAGCTGCAGAGGGACAATAGGGTAAACGGAGAAGAAGAAGAAGAAGGTATAACTGTAGAAGTAAAGTCGAAGCATATGCAGCAGCAAAGTCAACCAGATTCCGCGATGCAAGCTCAATCTTCAGGCACAAGTAATGTTATCTATCGCGATGCCGTTAGCAAAGCTGTAGCTCAGTACACTCTGGATGCTCGTCTCCATGCCGTTTTCGAGCAGTCCGGGGAATCCGGGAAGTCGTTCGATTACTCCCAATCTGTGAAGACGACGATCCAGAGTGTCCCGGAGAAGCAGATCACGGCTTACTTGTCGAAAATCCAGAGAGGAGGTCACATTCAGCCGTTCGGGTGTATGGTTGCGGTGGACGAGCCCAGTTTTCGGGTCATCGGGTACAGCGAGAACGCCCGGGAGATGCTTGGTTTAACGCCGCAGTCAGTTCCGAGCCTGGAGAGGCCGGAAGTGCTCATGATTGGAACGGATGTGCGGCACGTTTTCACTCCTTCAAGCTCGATATTGCTGGAACGGGCGTTTGGGGCCAGAGAGATCACCCTGCTCAATCCGATTTGGATCCATTCCAAGGTCTCTGGGAAGCCATTTTACGCGATTCTGCACAGGATTGATGTTGGGATTGTGATCGACTTGGAGCCCGCTAGGACTGAGGACCCTGCCTTGTCCATTGCCGGAGCTGTCCAGTCTCAGAAGCTCGCCGTGAGGGCAATTTCCCACTTGCAGTCGCTCCCGGGCGGGGATATCAAGCTTTTGTGTGACACTGTGGTTGAGAGCGTGAGGGAGCTAACAGGCTACGACCGAGTGATGGTGTATAAGTTTCATGAGGATGAACACGGCGAGGTTGTGGCCGAGAGCAAAAGGACAGATTTAGAACCTTATATTGGGTTACACTACCCTGCAACCGACATCCCCCAGGCATCCAGATTTTTGTTTAAACAGAACAGGGTTAGGATGATTGCCGATTGCAATGCCATCCCGATTCGAGTTGTGCAAGACGAGTCCTTGATGCAACCCCTATGTTTAGTAGGTTCCACCCTACGTGCTCCCCATGGTTGCCATGCGCAGTACATGGCCAATATGGGTTCCATTGCTTCTTTGACGCTGGCAGTTGTTATCAATGGGAGTGACGAGGAAGCCATAGGAGGAAGAAACTCAATGAGGTTATGGGGTTTGGTGGTTGGTCATCACACTTCTGCAAGATGCATCCCTTTCCCCCTCCGTTACGCTTGTGAGTTCCTCATGCAGGCTTTCGGTCTACAATTGAACATGGAACTCCAATTGGCATCACAGTTGTCTGAGAAACACGTCCTTAGGACGCAAACGCTGTTGTGTGACATGCTTTTAAGGGATGCCCCGACTGGGATTGTTACCCAGAGCCCTAGTATTATGGACCTTGTGAAATGTGATGGGGCTGCATTATACTACCAGGGGAAATACTACCCTCTGGGGGTTACACCTACTGAAGCTCAGATAAAGGACATAGTTGAGTGGCTATTGACTTACCACGGTGACTCCACTGGGTTGAGCACAGATAGTTTGGGTGATGCTGGGTATCCAGGCGCAGCCTCACTAGGTGATGCCGTTTGTGGGATGGCAGTTGCTTACATAACCTCAAAAGATTACCTTTTCTGGTTCCGATCCCACACCGCGAAAGAGATCAAGTGGGGTGGAGCCAAGCATCACCCTGAAGATAAAGATGATGGACAGAGGATGCATCCCCGTTCTTCCTTCAAGGCGTTCTTGGAAGTCGTTAAGAGTCGTAGTTTTTCTTGGGAGACTGCTGAAATGGACGCAATTCACTCTTTGCAGCTAATCCTCCGTGATTCATTTAAGGATGCCGAGGCAAGCAATTCTAAGGCTGTCGTGCATGTTCCACCCGGGGAATTGGAGATACAAGGAATGGATGAGCTGAGTTCTGTTGCTAGAGAGATGGTTAGGTTGATAGAGACTGCCACGGCACCCATATTTGCAGTGGATGTTGAAGGGCGGATAAATGGGTGGAATGCTAAAGTTGCGGAGTTGGTTGGGTTGTCTGTTGAAGAGGTCATGGGGAGGTCATTGATTCATGATCTTGTTCATAAGGAATCACAAGAAGCTGCCGAGAAGCTTCTGTTTAATGCACTAAGAGGTTCTCTCTCTCTCTCTCTTCTCTATTCCGTGTTCCATTTCTTGTTTTCATTTTTACTGTGTATTATGTATGAAATATTCATTACATAGTTGCACACATGATCACCGTTGACATGCTACTTGGTAAGGTAGAGCATGCTTGGGATAACTTATGGCACTGGTGTTTCTATCCTACGTGCTATTTAATGTATAAAGCAAGTAATTGCTTACATGCGTTCTTAAAATACAACAACAACATTATCCTAGTGCATCAAAGTCTCCCGCCCATTGCGTGGTAGGGGGGGTTGGATGTACGTAGTCCGAACCCTATGTTACAACATAGAGCAGCTGTCTCTAGATGACCCCTGATAAGCGTCGAAAGTTGCATTGGCTTACTGTTACTCCACTATCTATGAAGCACATATAGGTTAAGAGCCATTTTGCTCTTCTCCATCTTACTCCAAAGCCAAATAATAGTGAATATTTTGCTCCATTGGAGAAGATGGAAAATAAACATCAACAATGTTTCTTTTACTATTGAGCACACACACTCTTAATTTATACTTAGCCACTTAAGTTGAACCCCAAGTTATTAAAGAATTCCATTCTATTCTCTTGGATTTTGATGTGACAACAGATATGTGAGTATTAGCTATTAAGTTTGGTGTATGTTTTCCAGAAAATGTGGTGACTGTCCTTTCGCTTGATAATACAAGAAACTTGACTGTTCATACTTCATATTTCATAGATCATAGGCCATAGTCTGCTTATTCTGCTTCTTAATTTGGCTGAAACGAATCTTACTATAATGTCAACAGGTTCAGTAATTTCATTTCAGTAATGTTTTTTTCTTTTTTCTATGTCACTATTGCAGGTGAAGAAGACAAGAATGTAGAGATAAAGATGAGAACGTTTGGCAGTGAGCAAGATAAGAAGGCTCTTTTTGTAGTGGTCAATGCATGTTCCAGCAAGGATTACACAAACAATATCGTTGGTGTCTGCTTTGTTGGTCAAGATGTCACCGGACAGAAAGTTGTAATGGACAAGTTCATTCACATCCAAGGAGATTACAAGGCTATTGTACACAGTCCCAACCCTCTGATCCCTCCCATATTTGCTTCAGATGAGAACACATTATGCTCCGAGTGGAACACTGCCATGGAGAAGCTTACCGGTTGGAGCAGGGGGGAAATGATGGGCAAGTTGCTGGTCGGTGAGGTTTTTGGAAGCTGTTGTAGGCTGAGGGGACCAGATGCCATGACCAAATTTATGATCGTGTTGCATAACGCAATTGGAGGACAAGACACGGATAGGTTTCCATTTTCCTTTTTTGACAGAAACGGGAAATACATACAAGCTCTCCTGACAGCGAATAAGAGAACCAATATCGACGGTCAGATTGTTGGGGCCTTCTGTTTCTTGCAGATTGCCAGTCCTGAATTGCAGCAAGCTCTCAATGTCCAGAGGGAACAGGAAAAGAAGTCTTTTTCAAGGATGAAAGAATTGGCTTACATCTGTCAGGAAATAATAAACCCACTGAACGGAATACGCTTCACAAATTCACTACTGGAGGGAACACAGTTGACAGAAGATCAAAAACAGTTTTTGGAGACTAGTGCTGCTTGTGAGAAACAAATGTTGAAGATCATAAGGGATGTTGATATGGAAAACATTGAAGAAGGGTAAGATTTTTCATTATTGAGTATGCTTGCTGGTTTTTTGTTTATGACAAACTTTCATTTATGGTCCATCTTCTAATTCTTAAAAAAGTCTAGTTTACAGTAAAAATACTTGGAGCATAAAATGCCTTGTTTTTGTGTGTCTTTCTGTCAACTCTTGCAAAGTCTACATGGTTATATCACTTTTAGTTCATTTCAATGTAAAAAGTAAGTAGAAGATAAAGTAGAGAGGAAAAAGGAAACAAAAGAGAATTAAAATATTTTATATCTATGCCTCTATATTCGTTTTGCATGAACTTATAGTGTTAACTAATTTTAAACAATTCATCAGCTCGGTGGATTTGATGCCACCGGCCCAAGTAGTTGTGATTATGATGCTAATAATTAACGATGATAGACAAAAAAAAAGATAGATAGACAGACTAACTGACTAAGTATTACTGCTGTCAATTACAGTTCGCTTGAGCTGGAGAAGGGAGATTTTTATCTTGGGAGGGTAATAGATGCTGTTGTTAGCCAAGTGATGTCCTTTCTGAGAGAAAGAGGACTGCAGCTAATCCGTGATATTCCAGAAGAAATTAAGACACTGGCACTGAATGGGGATCAAGTGAGAATTCAGCAGGTGCTGGCAGATTTTTTACTAAACATGGCACGCCATGCCCCATTCCCAGGAGGCTGGGTAGAAATCCAAGTCCGCCCAAGTTTTCTGCAAAGTTCTGACTCCACAAACAATGTTCGTATTGAATTCAGGTATTTGGTACACACTAAACATTTTGTCCCCTTTCCTTTCATCAATCTGTGTTTTTATAACGGTGATGACTGATGACTTGAATCAGATGAAATACTTTCACTTGATCGGTTTGATTTGCCTTGAATTTCCTTCCTCATATGCATTGTCATGGTAGAGAAAGATCCATCCACCCTATTCGCTCAATTTTTTATTGTTTCCTACCCGCACATTTTTTTACTATAAAAACACATACAAAAGCGTAATTTTTCTAATGCACCCGAAAATTCAATTCTTTTGGGAGTCCTGGCTCTTCCAGTGTCACATGCTATAATCCAGCAGAGGAGATAAAAGTGTACATCATTTCATTTAGAAAGATATTGTTGGTGACCAAATGCGTGAATACATTAGTTTAAATAAGAGAGTATGTGTCATAGTGTGAATAATATTAAAACCCAAGCTTATAGACTTCAGATAGCTTGTTGCTTATTTTTATATCATATGGAGAGAGAGGATACCTCAGCTGATATGCAAGGTCCATCCCTTTACACTCACTCACACATCTAGCACTTATGATGATTTGAAGTCCAATAAGAATAGGGGTTTACATTACAACTTATTGCTCAAACACTTGACTAATTGCCCCCCGATTCATTTCTGACTACGTTTTCTTCCTCCTGGGAAAAGGATCACGTGTCCAGGCGAAGGTCTTCCTCCTGAGCTGGTGCAAGACATGTTCCACAGCAGCCGTTGGGTGACTCAAGAAGGGTTAGGGCTGAGCATGAGCCGGAAAGTATTAAAGGCCATGGATGGAGAAGTACAATATATCAGAGAGTCCGAAAGATGTTATTTCCTCGTCGTCTTTGAGCTTCCCACACCCAAGAGAGGTTCCAAGAGTATTGTTGGCTAATCACACTATGATACCTTTGGGAATTCTTTGAGGAATATTTGGAACCAAAAGGGGGCCGGATTTTCCCCAACCAAGAGTTCCCCACCTGGCCCCTCCTCCCTCCAGGTGAGCTAATCACACTAATCAAAAAACTTGATATTTGCCTCTTTGGGTTATAACTTCCAACCCAAGACATGGATATTTCTGGTCTGAGCATTGTTTTTGTATTCAAAAACTCATCTTTGGCCTCCCCAATTCTCTGATCGGATCCATGTCGGAACAAAAAAGAACGAAGAGTAATCCATCCAATGTGCCGAATTCTAGTAGTAGGCGTGCGAGGGGGGTGGCGCATTCTGATTCAGACAGATGGCCGTTGGTTCGTGTTTCTTCTCTTCTTTATGTATGTATTTCTATTCATGGATTGGTCATATTTCTATTTCTGTATGAATTCTTGTTTTAAAGTGTATGCTATGAGATCCAATGAACAAGTATATGGGAGCTTAGCTTGACTTGATATTTCAGTTTACAAATGTAAAATCTGGGGTTAGTTTTGACTTTTAAAATTTAGTGAGTTTCACAAGTATGTTTTGGCCAATCCATCGTATGATTCAATAGTCAATACTCAATAGTATTGAAGTATTCTAAACTACTTTTCACAACCTAACATACCTACCGGATAATGATAGATAAATGTTTCATATTGTTAAGGCTGAATTTCGTTTACACGAGCATATGGCAAAAAATAATATATTGGCATTCAGTTATATAATTTTTGTAGAAATTACAAAAATAACTAAAATTATTTTAGCACGATTTGCTAACTCTCATTTGTCATTTTGATGAGACTGTACCTAGTCATAGATAGAAGAAAAATAAAATTGACATAAATACAAAAGAAAAGTACATGCAATGTAAAAAGATGGTCTCATTTTGATTCTAGAAAATATGTAAAGTTCAAAAGAAATGCTTACAAAATGTTACAAACGAAATGCTTAAAATCGGATTCCAAGAGAAATTTATAAATATATCTCGCAATCAATTATACATTGCTTAAAAGAGTATAATAAATCAATACCTTAATGTAAAAATAATACATTATTGCTGATGCTAAAAATGTTCATCATCTACAAATGGAAAATGAACTAGTAAAAAACATTGGCATGGAAAATAATATGGACATACAAATTAAAATACATCTAAAACTATGTTATTACTGAAATTCAATGGAATTTATAAGCCATTTATATGATGCCAAATTATCAAAGCCAGTGATACTAATTAGCTTTAAATGTCACGCAAGTACATTAAAACAAAATGAAATTAGTCCTTATAAAATATACAATCTGACTCGTTATTTTGGATTTCTTTCAAAGATTTTTAATGGGACAAAAAATACTCATATATATAAATATGAACCTTCAAGGGGAAGTATTGTAATTTTTTCCAAATGAGAAATGTGAATGAACCAAATTGTTAATCCTTGTAACTTCAATAAGTGTATACTACGTACTTGGTATTTAACATCTTTATAATAAATATGATCATGTGACTTTCTTTCTAAATAAACGTATTACCTATGTTCCAAATTCATTTACACTCTTCAAATAAAGTGAAAAACCTCAAATTCGAGAGAAGAATTTGGGAATGACATATGTACATAGATTTTGCTCCGACTCAAAAGTAGCTAGAAAGACTCTTTCTAAGATAAAGTCTTCCTAAATTACATTAATTCATGCACAAGTATTATAGAGTATCATCCCTCTATCACATGCAACCTTTTAAAATAGCTAGTGTCGCTTCATTAATCTACCCATTAAATATATACTCCGTAGTTTGATTTCATAATTATTTTAAAAAAGATTAAACACAATAATGTTGTTATCTCTTGTTTTATACAAGTAAAACTTAGGATATACCCCGGAGTCGAGATGAGCAAAAGGATTGGATTAGTCAGAACGGATCGATTTCTTGAAAAGTTTGATAGTATTTAAAACATGATTGGTCCGATCTTTTTTAAAATCGATCCAGACTAGTCCGGTCTTCATAAAAATATAGGGACCTTTTGGGACCATGTAGTCCCGTTTAAACCGGTCCAAGTCCGATTTGGTCCATAATATGTAAAACTTTTAATTTTTTGTTTTCGAAAAAATACTTGTAAAAATTTAAAAAAATATTATTTTTGATTATTTAATTTCTTTTTTCTATACTTTATTGATTTATAATAATTATGCAACATAAATATTATTATGTGAGATAAAAGTTGGATATAACCAATGAAAAAATAAACTTTATTACGTATGTTTTATACAAATAAGATTTTTTTTGTAATCACTTATTTGCAAATACTTTAAAGAAAATTATGTAATGTACAGTGTTTAATTTATATAAAATTAATTTTTAAAGTGTGTGTGTGTGTGTATACATATATATAATTTCAAATACATTAGATCTCAATTTTAGTCCAAGACAACCCGATTCGGCACCGGTCTAGTTTTTGATAAAAAATCAAAGACCAAATTAGTTAGTTGGTCCAAGTCTAGCCAGAGTGATCTCAAGAATCACTTCAATCCCATCTTTTTTATCCCAATCTCAATATATCTCGATCAATCTTTTTGGTCTTAGTTTTTATTTTAGTATTTAGTTAATGAATACAAGATAGAAGTAGGGGCTATAGTGGGTGTGTGTACGCAGAACTTAGTCCTACTCAAAAGTAGAGAGACTGTTTCCAATAAGACTTCCACTCAAGCAAGAGAAAAGCAAATATCACACAATAAAATATATACTCCATCCGTCCGGAAAAGAAGTTTACGTTTTGACTTTTAGTCATTTTTATTGATAGTTGACTATGAAGTCAATTTGTCCAAAATACCCTCCCACTCCTAGCTTCACCACGGTGCCAATTTCGGCAACCCCCATTGTCGGCTTGCTTGCCGCTAGACCCCGTCAGCCCCCGTCTCCGGCAGCCTCCCTTCGCAGCCATCCCTCACCGCCATCCCTCACCACAATCATCAGCCTACCGTCGCGCTTGCCCCCCTTCATTGCCTCCATCGCCTATCACAACCACCATCCTTACCACCGCTGCCAATCCTCCATCTCCCCCAGCACTATGTCACCGCCAGCCCCCATCCCCACTATCACCTTAATAGCCGCCATCTGCCATCTCTGCAATTGTAGATCTCTTTAGATCTCGAATAAAGAGGGAGATGGAGGAGGGAGATGGAGGATGCGAAAGAAGAAGTGAGATCTACACAAAGAGAAAGGAGAAAAGAAGAAAAGAAAAAAAGAGTTGCGTTTGGGAGGAGAAGCAAAAGAATGAAAAGAGAGAAGAAGCTAAAGAGAAAGAATGAGGATAAGGAGAGAAAGGAGTGGCGGAGAAGAGAGGGGAGAAATAAGGAAAAAGTAAAGGAAAAAAGAAGAGGGGTATTTTTGGAAGATTGTGGATTAAAATTAGAAATGTAAACTTTATTTCCGGACGGAGAAAAATGAGAAACGTAAACTTCTTTTCCGGACGGAGGGAGTAGCAATTAATGTCAAGAAAAACACAGAGACAACACACAAACTTTAAACCACTTCGACTCGTTACTTGAGAAACTGCAACGTAAAGTTGACCATGACTAAAGACATGCTTCTTTAATAATAAGCCCACGTGTGCAAGTGATTGTCCCTGACTCTTATTAATTGTCATTGCATAAGAAACCATGATCGGGAACTGCTTTCTCTGAAACTTGAAAGGAATTCTAGTATCAGATGGGGTCAAAGATAATCTTGGTATTACGACCTCCATTCCAATATACTTCCCAGACATTATTTTAGCTTGAATTAAATGGATACCTAACCGAGTAACAATCAATCTTGTTCCATCATAGCCCCATCGATGGGTCAATATTCCTTAGCAACATTATTGGTGTACCGATCTTTAATCTCAACTCGTGGTTCGGAACACCAGAGGCTCGAATCCCGTTCAAGAACTCAGGAGTGTGGATATCATTCAATCAACCAAAAAACTGATCTTAGATATGTCTTGCACTCTTTGGAACCATTTAATGTGGCCATGTAATCGTTAATTACATCAACAATGTCGAGCGTATGTGCTAAGATTGCTCTTTCTTGTATGTACGAAGGGCTATTTGCAATCCTCTCCATGTCTGGATAAGTGGCCTGGACAATGGCTTGGATGGGATCATCTGAGAACTTTATTAACATGCCATCGGGGATCTGAATTTCAAAATGCCCATCATTATCCTCCCCGCGATACCATCGCCAATACTTGCAATCCAATTTGAGAATTCCACCAAAGACTCATAGTTACTCGTATCGGCTAAATGATTTAATCGCATGTTTGTGGTCAGTCGTAGGACAACACAATGCTCCCATATATATGAGGAACTAATTGCCGCATTTACTATGTCTTGACGTGTACCCTTTGGAATTACCGGAAGAATTCGACGAAAATCACCACCAAATACAATTGTCTTACCTCCAAAGGGTTTATTCGCATTTTGGACATTCACTGATTGCATGATATCCCTTAAGATCTATCTAACGACTCAAGACAATGTTTATGAGTCATTGGGGCCTCATCCAGATGATTAACTTTGTACGAATGAGAAGTTGCGCTAAGTGACTACCTTGTAAAATGTTGCACGTGGAACTCTTTGTAGGGTGTAATGGTATGGAGAATCGTGAGTGAGCAGTTCTTCCCACAGGCAAGAGCAACGAAGCGATACCACTAGATGCAACATTTAAAACAATATCTCCCTTTGATCGTATTGATGGAGATAATGTCTTCCATACAAATGTCTTTCCGGTACCACCATAACCATATAAGAAGAACACCCCACCATTTACGTCTTCTATAGCTTTAACGATTGTCTCGTATGCAAGCAATTGCTCAGTATTCAATGTCGCTTTCAACTCATGATGTTCACATTTAAGTTTAATGCGATCATATTGCATCTCATCAAAGATTAATCGATTTTGATTAATTGACAATCCCTCGATGTTTGGAAGAGGCATGTCCTCATAATCGCGCAAACTCTTTCCTTGTTGCCTTAAAAGAGTTTCAACCTCAACCAATGCATAATTCTTCAATTCATCTTCCGTCAACACCAAACCATTTGATATAATAAATTATGTATTGATATAATACATAATTCTTCAATTCCTCTTCCTCTTCCTCAACCTTAAAATATTTGATATAATAAATTTAATAAAATTGTTTTTATCAGTATCTAATATTATTTTGTTTGAAATTGAAGTCAAAGTTTACGAATTTTGATCGAAGTATGAAGTAATGCAACCAAATACATTTAAGATTGTTTAAGTGATAAGTTAACCCAGGTTCGAGCCCCAGCGAAGGCAGCAGCATTGGCTCTTTATGCGTCATTAGCTTGAGAATAGTATGAACAGATACTACCTTGTAATAGAGTCAATAGCATTCAAAAAAAGATTGTTTAAGTGATAAGTTAAACCTATCATTTAATAAATAAGAGATTTGAAAAATATAATTTTAACTGTCGTACATAGGGCTGTGCATTATTCGGTCCAAACCCGGACCGACCCGAAGACCGGCCAAAACTGGACCGGACCCCGATCAATTTCCGTTATCCGAGTTCCGGTCCGGTCCAAACCCGGTGAGACCGGTGGACCGACCGGTGGACCGGTTATATCATTAATATGGGTTTATATTTTACTTAAATTATTTAGTATATGGGCTTGGGCTTAATTTATCATACACAATAATGTCAATACCCAATTATTGCCCCAAATAATCCACCTTAGTGGCTTAGTCCAGTAGCAAATCCACTTATCCACAGACGGTTTCACTGTTCTCACTTATCAATTCGCCATCGCCGAAGAAAACTCAAAGGACACGCACTCACGCAGCGCAGCAGGATTCCGCCCAATCCTCCGACAATCGCAGCAGTCGTCCACTCCGTCCGGCGTCCGCACTCCGCAGGTACGCAGTCCCAACTCGCCGATTCTTGCTAAAATGTCATAGGGTTAAGTAATTTGGAATTTTGTCGTGATTAAATCCCCATTGCAAATCTTCAAAGTTTCAAAAAAAAAAAACTCTTCTTTTAAGATTTTACGGAAGAAAATGAATCACATGAAATAAATTACAGTACTAAAAGAAATCAGAAAAATGAAAAAGAAGAAGAAGGATGAAATGGAGAGAAAAGGATGGAATAAATTAGTACGATATCAGTGGAGGCTTTGATGTGCTTCATAACGGTGGCAGAGCTTTGGTAATCTTTGGGCTGATGCCTGTGAAACCTCTGCACGTAATCTGCTTCCATTTTACACTGATGAAGAAGAAGAAGAAGAAGAAGAAGATAAGACTGTAATAAGAGGCTATGAAAGGAAGAAGAGAGAACCGCTTATTTAAAGCAAATCCCACAGAGGAAGCAAACCTTTCATTGATAAGTACTCCCCCCGCCCCTAGTTGTAATTTGTAAATACTATCCACACACCCAAAAATAATAATCAGGTCAGGTGAACCCTGACTTTTTGAAGACCCACCCAAAAATAATAATCAGGTGTGGGTCGGTCCGGGTTTGGACCGATGCATAGCCCTAGTCGTACACTGAATTTTTGAATTTTAATCAATTGAATATTTTAAAATATAGTTAGTAAAATATTTGACCCACTAACCAAAATGGATTGTTACGGAGTAAATAAGAACATTATATTGACAGTCTTTTTGTAGTGTCATGAATGTAAAAAAATGAGAATATAAAACCAAATACATTAAAGAGAGAGGGGACAAAAAAGGCATATTAATAAATGTAGTAAACATCTCCCGTACAAAAGGCATGTATAGCAATGTCCCTACACATCCCTAACTCCTATTATTGAAAGGAAAATGCTAGGGTGCCACCACATGGGTGCTACCATGGGTGCACCCATGCTTTGCACAGACAAACAGAGACGATAATTGTCTGTGTCGCACAGACAATTATCGTCTGTGTTTGTCTGTGCGAAGCATGGGTGCACCCATGGTAGCACCCATGTGGTGGCGCCCTAGCATGATCCTTATTGAAAAGCATTTTCCCAATATTTTTTATAGTGGGGGGTGCAATGCATGTACAACATAACTGGACAACAAATCAATGTAAGAGTACCATGCAATATTGAAATCAAATACATTTAAGAGGAAGAGGACAAAAAAGGCCAGATCTGGGTTTAGGTAACATCCCCTTGTAGTCATTATCCCTAGAGTAGTCATTATCCCCTTGTACTGAGATCAAAAATTTATTGTGATATCTTATTTAGAGAATATCAAGATTAAAGGTTACCTGATGCTCCTTTTAACAAAAATAAAGCTTTTTTAGTTGAACTATATTTTAAAATAAAAATGTGACACAATTCAAAATTATATTTTAAAACTATATTTTAAAATAAAATTGCATTTATTAACATTACATTATCACTGAATATATTTTTTCATTATTCACGGTCAAACGGTGTCATAGTTTGACAAAAAAATCAAACTCTGTAAACTTTTTAAGGAGGGAGAAATTAAAAAGAAGGAAGCTTTTTTTGCGTGACCAAGAAGAATGTACCTAATTTGAAATTTTCCCATTCTATGATTTTTTTTCAAATGAGAAAGCACTAAGTAGTGATATTGATATTTGTGTTTAAACGTAATATTTCAGATTATATACAATAGAATTATATGTGAAATATATAAAAATATTATAAGATCAACAAATATAGTAAGAAAGAAAAAAAATGTAAAAATGAGATCAGAAATTCACATTGAAGTATATGATAGGTGTGATTTATATTATAAGTGGGGTGCCATAGAACTATTAAGGATTTATAAAAGTAATTAGGTGTGATTTAATCCTCTTTCTAATTCTTTTATCCACACTTTCTTCATAGTACAAATGTCTCCAGACAGTGGCAATTTGTAGTGGGCAATTGGTTGTTTGTGGCGTAGGATTAATTTTAATGGAACTCTGGATATCGAAAAAACACATTCCATTAATAAGACATAGGGTGATAAACATTTTTAGACGTTCAAAAAATAAAAAAGCATAATTGAAAAAAAAATAACAACACAGTGATGGATTTAAAAACGATACAAAGGAGTCGCAAATTATACATTTTTCCCAAAGCACGCCTTTCTCCTCTAGTCCTTTTCTTGTTTCACAACCCGACGTCTCTTACAAGACGAAGTTGAATCGAACTCATCCAACAATGTTCTGCACACACTTACATCTACATTTCCTATAGGGTCTGTTTCCTCGATCACAATTGGTAGTGTCTCTTTTCCGCTTGAACCAATCTAAAACAAATTGAAAGGCAAAAGTTAGAATAATATAAATTAAAGGCTATCAATATGTTCAACTATTTGGTTTTGCACATTGACCTTCTCATTTGTATCAAGCAAGGCATCTATCTCTGCCAGCAGGCTTGAGGATTCCCCTTCCTTCTTCTGGATATATTTTGCCAGAACGGCGTCATCCAAAATGATCTTGTTCACTGAAAGGTTTTTTGGCCCACTGAATGAGATTTGTTTGGCTTCATCTAGGAGTTTGATTTGAAATATACGTACACTTTTTGTTAACCAATGCCTCTTGCATCTCGTCTGGGATTCTTGTTGAGGAGCCAGCCTTCTGAAAAGTGTTTTCGAGTCTTTAATATAATATAATGGTAACAGCATAATATAAAAAGCACTCAAATACATGGTTAACAACTTCTTACCATTTGACTATTAATGTAAGGGGAAGGACATCGATGCAAAACTGTCGATGTGTTTTTCAAATGATTTTATAATGTTATTAATTCTAAGACAAGTAATAGACATAAATTTCAAGGCATCAACCTCAACATTATTATTGGGATTAAGGTGATGCTGACGATGAAATATATTTGTCAAGTCACTAGAGCAGCCAAAGTATATACACAAGGACGGTCTAAATAAATGTGGAAAGAACAAGAATTACCTTATCTGTTTCCCGTTTTAAGGACAAAATCTGAAGAGACGTCTTAATCTGCATTCATTTGAAAAACTAATTTAATTGATTTATTTCTTAAATTTGAAAGAGAATGTTTGAAGTAATAAGTTGAAATTGATTATTACAAGATGCCTTCCTGTTTTTCTGTAAGGTTGCACAACAAGTAGGCCAAGTGGAGTTGTCCATTGTACAGGGTGATTCTCCCGAGCAATGATCTGTGTACCCATAAGTTAATAGTCATTAGTAAAACAACAACAACAACCCAGTTAAATCCCACAAGAGTAGGGTCTGGGGAGGGTGTGTGTACGGAGACCTTGCCCCTACTTGAAAGTAGAGAGGCTGTTTCCAAAGAGACCCCCGACTCAACGTCGAAAGTTGCATTGCTTGACTAACTGCTACTTCATTAATTAAAGAAGCGCAGACAGTTTAGAGATCCATTTTGATTTATTCCATCACACCCCAAAGCCAAAAAAATGGTGAAATTTTGGCTCCATCGGAGATGATGGAAATAAAATAATATGCAAATATATATTCATTTATATACTGAAGAGAAATGGTATAAAAGGAATAAATTGCAAAATAACAATCAAAATCTTCAATGCTTCTTTGCGCAAGAGAGTATAAATTTTGGTCAGTCCCGCACCATTTCATACTCTCTTCATTTCCTCAAACATACAAAACAAGAAGATTGGGTTCTTTATCTACAACTTCTCTCTCTAATTTCACTCTTTCCAAACAAAGACTATATTCAATCCATCTTCCACTAATTTTCAGCTTCAAAGGTCGTATTCTTTGCTAAACTAATTTTGCATAGGCTTGTGACATTCCGAGTAATATATTGACAGTGTTAATAATTAGAAATTAATAAGAAATTACTAATTAGAATTACAGACCAAATTAAGAATTAGAAATTAAACTTCTTTGAAGATCTGCACCACCCCCCTCCTCCAAAGACCCCATTTATAAGATAGGTAAACTTTAGATGCAAAACTGTCGATGTGTTTCAAACTTCATACCGTGTATTATTTTTATAGAAATGTTCTTTTCATTTGACTATTCTTGACTCTATCTTCTTACCATACGGCTTATCTTCTTTTGTGTGGGACTTGTGGCTTATATAGGTAAACTTTAAACCCTAATCAGATAAGATTAGAAGTTCTACTCAATATTAAGCCAAGTAAGATTATGATTCTTTGTTCAGGTCTTTCCGTTTTTTTCTTCTATGCATACTAGAACTCCAACTGTAAATAAAACAGCTACAAATAATTCCAAACAATTCTATTTGTTTGTCGTAAAATAATGCGAAGACAATATGGAATTAACTTTGTTCTAGATAAACCATTCTGATTTGTTGTTCTTCACCCATACCCTTTAGATAAACTGGCTAAATTTTTCTTTTAGTTTAAGCAGATTGATTATTATATTTACAGAAGAAGAAGAAGAGGAATATGCAAATGCTCTGAATGCATCGTTCTTCCACAATTCATCAACTCCGGCACTGCGCAAGGTGCCAATCTCCATTGCAGGGCAAGAAACTCCATGCCCAAATTGTAAAGAACGGCCAAGACAAATGTGCTCCCCCCATCTACTCCAATGGTCTCATCGACATGTACGGCAAATGCCACCTACTGAAAGACGCCCGCCAGGTGTTCGACGAAATGCCCCAAAGGGACTTAGCCTCGTGGGCTTCCCTTTTCACCGCCCACAACCTCGCTGGCCTCCCCCTATCCACTCTCTCCATCTTCCCAAACATGTCGCGCCTCGACGGCTTTCAACCTGACCACTTTGTTTTCGCCAGCCTCGTCAAGGCTTGCGCTGACCTTAGTGCCCTAAGAGTGGGAAAACAGGCTCACGGGCAGTTCATCGTGTCACCCTTTTCGCACGATGATGTCGTGAAGTCTTCCCTTGTCGACATGTACACCAAATGTGGGGCCCTTGGTCACGCCCGAAAGGTTTTCGACTCTATCTTCCACAGGAATCCGATTTCGTCTGTTGCTATGATTTCTGGGTATGCGCGGAATGGGATGAAGCCTGAAGCCATGGAACTTTTTCGCTCTTCTCAGGTGAAAACCATATCCACATGGACTGCATTAATATCTGGAATGGTGCAAAGTGGGGAATTTTTCGACGCGTTTAGCCTTTTTATCGAAATGAGAAAAGAAGGTGTTGATATTTCAGACCCATATGTTCTTTCCAGCATCATTGGAGCTTCTTCCAGTCTTGCAGCTCTGGACCTCGGCAAACAGATCCATTGTTTGGTCATCATTTTTGGTTACAAACCCAACCTCTTTGTCAGTAACTCACTGGTGGACATGTATTCCAAGTGCTCCGATGTGCTGGCATCGAAAACCGTGTTCGATGACATGGCAATTAGAGACGTCGTCTCATGGACATCGATCATTGTTGGCATGGCACAACATGGGAAAGCAAACGATGCTTTGTCGCTGTATGACGAAATGGTCTCAGAGGGGTTCAAGCCAAATGAAGTCACTTTCACGGGACTAATCTCTGCGTGTAGCCACTATGGCTTGGTAGAGAGAGGCCGCGGCCTTTTCAAGTCCATGACTGAGGATTATAGTCTGAACCCATCTCTGCAGCACTATACGTGTCTGTTGGATCTATTGAGCAGGTCTGGGCTTCTTGATGAGGCTGAAAACCTGCTCGAAACGATGCCATTTGAACCGGACGAAGCTGCTTGGGTGGCACTCTTGAGCGCCTGCAAAAGGCACGGGGCTGCTGAGATGGGGATGAGGGTTGCGAACCGTGTCATGAGTGTGGGGCCCACCGAGGCATCGACGTGTGTCTTGCTGTCTTCGGTTTATGCGGGCGCGGGCATGTGGGGGAATGTGTCTAAACTGAGGGGACTGATGGCCAGTTTGGAGGTTAAGAAAGAGCCTGCTTATAGCTGTGTTGGTTTGAGTGGGGAATGTGATGTCAAGTCTTCTTGTGTATAGTTTCTAGAAAACAACCCAATTTTCTTTGTTTTGTTTTAAGGGCCTTGAAATTATTTTTTCTTTATTATTTTTGTATTTTGGATGTGATTCTTTTGATGTCAAACTACTTGTGAAACAAAAGTTGGACGTGAGGATGAAATTATATTGAATAATGCTAAGGTGCCACCACATGGGTGCTACCATGGGTGCACCCATACTTCGAACAGACAAACACAGACGATAATCGTCTTTGTCGCACAGACGATTAACGTCTGTGTTTGCCTGTGAGAAGCATGGATGCACCCATGGTAGTATCTATGTGCTGGTACCCTAGCATGACCCTAGCATGACACAAATACTACCCTAGCATGGTAGTATCTAAATGATAGTTTATGGCTCAAGTACATGTCTAAGTGTAGTTGTTGCTTACGAGGATAAAATAGCTCATGACCCTAGCATGACACAAATACAACTATTTTGTAGATCTTTTGGTCTAGTCTTTAAATATGTAATTTTAATTTTTCAGTTCTACACCATTTTATATAAAATAATTTAAAAATAATTTCAGTTAAACATCGTAAACCATAAACCAAAGAAGATAATTTAAATTGGGACGGAGAAACTAATAATACTCCGTAGTATAGTAGTATAGTACTCCGTAGATGTTTATATCTTAGAAAACTACTGTAAAGTTTTTAAACCGGCAGGGTGAGAAGGTAAGGTGGTCCTTTTTTTGAACCAACTCTAACGAAGAATCCAAAACCATGTGTAAAGTGGTCCTGGTTCTAGTTCATTAGGCTAACAATTTTGGTTCCTGTGAAATGATTCCCTCACAAACTCTTAAGCAGTCCCAATACCCATTTCAATCTTTTACTTCCCGTCCCTGAAACATCTTCTCTTATTGACTTTTCGAAGATTTAAAGGAGAGATATTTTTGTTTTGACTTTCCAAAAATACCCTTGTTGTGATGGATAAAAGTAAAGAGTGATGTATAAATTATTAGTAAAAAAATATGATGTGATAGGTAAGGTATGAAAAAGTAAGAGATAAAAGTGGTTTTTTAATAGATAAGGGAACATCTTTTAAGTACAACAAAAAAATGAAAGGGTAAGATCTTTTAGGGACGGATGAAGTATTTGATAGAACTAGAACATGAACATTATAATGTTATATAACTATGACTTCCCATGTCCAAGTATTAAAGTTTCAATTTAACTTCACACATTCAAAGACAGTAAAAATGTTTTGAGTTTTCACCTTCCCATTTTGCCTTGGGACAGAGAATTGGAACTATGCCCATCCCTACACAAATACAGAGTAACAAATGTCAATCTAAAATAGCTCAAGTACAGCACATAGATACTACCATGGGTGCACCCATGCTTCTCACAGGCAAACACAGACGTTAATCTTCTGTGCGACAAAGACGATTATCGTCTGTGTTTGTCTGTTCGAAGTATGGGTGCACCCATGGTAGCACCCATGTGGTGGCACCTTAGCATCATATATATATATATATATATATATATATATATATATATATATATATATATATATATATATAAAGTAGGGTTTTTAGGCTGTGGTGTTGACACGTGTACAATGTGACTAAGCAGCTGACTGAGATAATTATGCTGACTAGGTTCTACAGTTTTACTTTCTGCCTCTTTTTCGTTTCTGATCTGAAACGTGAAACGTTCAGCACTTCAATTCTTCCACTTCCGCTCATCCATTCTTCCACTTTTGCTCCGGCTCCAATTTCCTCTAACTCGCCGCCTCTCTCAAGGTTGAGGCCTGCATTGATTTTTTTGAAACAATGTCGATCGGATTTTGCACGAACAAAGACGACGGCTCGCACCGACGAAGATGATGTTTAGGTTGGGCTAGGGTTTTGATCGTAGCCCCAGTGACCGATTCCGACGACAATTGACGGTGGTGATTGAGGCGTTTGTCTAGCAAGACCACCAGCTTTAGCAAGTACAACTACCTATATTTTTCTTCTTTCAACGTGGCAGCAAGGTAAATCCTACACCTGTGGGTCTTCTTCTTTTATTCCATTTTTATTCAATTTTATAGTTATAATTTTCTTTAGTTCTTAAATGGTTATGATTCATAAAAATCCCAGAAAGCTTTCACAGATTTACATACCGATTAGTGTGATTGTTTTGTTTAAAAATGTAATTGGTTTTAACATCTAGACGGCTTGAGCAATACTGAATGATAGAGTTTTGTGTGCCTATATCACTATTAAGAGCTCTTGGCAAAGAATAGGTGGCAACTTTTGGTGGTCCAATTACATGCTTCTGTATGATAGAGTTTACTTTCTGCTCTTTGCTTATTTTAGAATCAGGAAAGTTCCCTTACATCCATGAACCCTGAAAAATTGTTGTTTGAACCACATTTTTTAGTGGTTCATGCTCCATTCTTGATTGTAAATTGACACATAAGGTGTTTTAGTTTCAGACTCATACTACCTTTTAGGGATTTAATTATATACACTCCGGTGATTTCATAGCCATCTCAAAAATCTACGGGTGGTGGGGTTAGTTTGAAACACTTGAGAAATAGGTAACTAGAGCATTTGTGGGACATACTACAATTTGTTTGAAAGATGAGGATGGCAAACTTTGGGTGGGTGAATGCAACTTATGAGAATAAAAAGGTAAGCTGGAGTATTGGTTTCCTTTTACTTCAGTGAGAGTAATGGTGATTTTTGGCCTCATTTTTCCCTGCTTGGGGTATTTCATACCTTGGAACTCACCTGTTTTTCTAGATAGGCAGTTTTTATTGTATATCACAGCTCACTTTTCTCCCATTCCTAAAACAGTCCTTATAAAATGAGTAGTCATAGACTAATTATATTGTTCTAGACACTATAAAATCTACAGACTGTGATGATTATTAATAGAATTCAAGAGTTTCAATCATAACCAGTGTCATGGCGTGGCAGATCTATATCTGCAGCCATGGTGGGATTGGTCGATTGATAATCTGATTGAGAAAGGGTGAATTCCGAGCCTCATAACATCTTTCTTTGAAGATGAGTTGAAGTGGCAGAATTTATTTCCACTTTATACAACAATCTTATATAGCATTAGTGTCTTTTCGTAATCGAGATGCATCGAGAGAAACTTTCATTTGTCGAAGTTTTGATAGATCAGATATTATGGAGTTGTTAAATTGAGAATTAAATCCCATAAAAGTGTGAAATATTTTCTTTCATTCTCTTTATTGAAAAATTGTTTATGCTCTACATTGTTGATATTGATCCTGATTATTGAGTATGGTGTTCGAAACCTATGTGTTACTTGCTTTGCTGAATAATAATGGACTAGATATTGATTAAATTATGGCATCGAACTTAAATTATATTTTAATAGTGAAATATAATTTTATAAAAAGTGAGATATAAAAGATTAAAGAATAATGTTATATAACTTAAGATTATATTTTAAGATTTAACTTTAAATTCGGTGCGGGTAAAAGAATCGTCATTGTAGTTCTGTCTATACTTCTATTTTAATTGTTGTGTTCTTTCAATTTTTTATATAACTTTCCAGTAGGGTAGGAATTAGGATATGTTGTTCTTTTCTTTATATTTATTTGTGTTTTTCTCTCACAATGATGATGAAGATGATCATATTTATTTTTATTTTAGAATATGATTTGTTGAACTATACAATTTTTAGGTGGTTATTTAACTTGCATTCTTATCAGAATTTTAAAGTGCTTATTCAACTTGCTGTCTTACTCTTGCTTGCCACATCATCATAACTATGACCAATTTTGTGGTTGTGGGGCTGGTGCTTGAATTTATATATCAATGAAGTGTCATTAAGTACTTTGTGGATAACATTATATGCGTATTGTGGCAAACTTTCGGACCTACTAATCATTTCTTTCGGGATGGAGATTTGGAAGTAACATTCCCTACCATGCTTGGCAACTTGATCGGCCATCGATATTTATCTTCAAGGATATTTGAAAGGAGAGATGTCTGCCTTCATTGGCTAGCTACCTTATCCGTCATCAATATCTATTTCGTTTCAAACTTCCCAATTACAACATGAGTGCATATAGTTAAAGTTTAAGGACGTCAAAATTTTTTGAAAAAATCTATTTTAGTATCTTTGGAAAAGTCCCAGGTATATTAATTTTTCATTTTATGCAAATACTTATATACATTTCATTGGGTTTCTTTTTCGTTTTTTGCACACACTGTTGGCCTCACACCACAATCCATATGCAATACCTCATATCTTTATTGACAAATTCGGGTTATGTGACAAGATATGTTTTAAAATCTTTCAGTAATGATTCAGTTGTTCTCTTCTTTTTCCCACATAAGCTATGGTCCTTGGCTTAATAATGAAAGGTCGGTATTGGTGCATTGCTCTAATTTTCTACCCCTGTTATGATGTACTGATCCAGTGATATTGCATAATTCTTTTGTTTCGTACATACACATAGTATATGGTTGGGTGTACACTTAGGAATTATGTACACATAAGTTTCTAATTTTTTTTGTTGAAGTTAAAGGTTCCAAAACAAGGTTTCTATATTCTATTCGGGTTTCCATTTGTTTCTCAGTAAAAAAAATATAGGTTATTTAATTATTTCTCAGCTATAACATCTTATACTAAAGCTTTTATTTTTAGTACAGTTCTTGGAGACAAGTTGTGCCTTCTTGATTTGAAAATTCATTTAATGATTCAATACAAAACATAGTACTGTTTTGAATGTAAAAGGGAAAAAACTAAGTATATAATTGAGAAAGAAAAAGGAGCAACTTTTATTCAATCCGAACTATACTCTAAACTTGGCTATAAGAACTACACAACTCAAAATTGCGACGTTACATTACTCCTGCAGGGTGTCACCAACCAAAATTTCTCGCAATACGCCAATACCAAAGAAACATAAATCACGCATGCACACCTCAATACCCCATTCTCTAAGTTCTTTCATATCTCTAACATGCAAACACTACAAAACAATTGGTACACAAAAGCACACCACCCAAGCCTGTGCGAAAGCACATGGTAGAAAACTAGGGACAAGTGACAAGGCGCATGATCTGGATTTCTATGCCACGAGGGATAAGAGCGTTTGTTGGCTTTGAACGGACGCTCAACCTCCTCAGCTTCTCTCTGCACTCGGCACATGAAACCTGTTCACCTCTTTGACCTCTGATAATTTTTGTCTTTCAATCGATTTTGCCTATGGGGTGCACGACATCGCCGGAGTCATGCTGGCCTCTGATTTCCTTGCATTCACGGCCTCTCTCACAAACAAAGAAACAGGTTGAGGTGATTCAGGCGGCGATTGTGGTGGTTTGTTTTGGCTCGATTTTGACTATGGCGTTGCCTAGAGGTGATTGACGTGGCTGGCCCAACAAGACCACCAGCTGCAACGACTACAACTACAGGTATTCTTCTTCTTCTTCAACTTGGCATCAAGTAAATCCTAAAACTTTTCCCTAATTATTTCAAGCTTGCCGGGGAGAGATGCAGGTTTTGGTGCAATCGCCTTTTCCTTCCTTCATCAATCTCTGGTAGAATTGGTTTACAATACTTCCTCTCCAGTGCTGCTCCCGTTCATCATCGCCCAAGTAATTTCACCTTCCCTTTGATTTCCTTTGTTGAGGTGAGATACATAGATGTAGGCATGGCGTCTTCCAATGTGGTTCATTGAGGAACATTTCCTGAAAGATAAATCCCTGTCAAAAGTCTAACACGTGAGTCTGGAGTTTGTATAAAGTAGGGTTATTTGATTGTGAGGGTGTGACACGTGGGCAACGTGGCAGGTGAGATGGAGGTGACATGGCATTGAGGTGGATTTAGTGTTTATGAGAGCTGTTTCACTTTCGGCCTTGAAAATCAGACGCCACCCAAATACGCCGTTTCATATCTTTTCACCGGCGCCGGTTCCCTATGCGACCGGAGAAGTTCAAGAAAACACCCCGTCAAGCATCGATTCCGGTGAGTAGCTTCCGGCACCCATCCGTCGACCCTCAGAATTAGCCAAACCCATTGTACACGAATGAGCCAGTACGAAGAAGAAACATTCCAGACTCAATTTTGGACGCATTTTGACAAGTTTGCGCCTGTTCACCAGTCATGCTGCATCAATCGAGCAACTCCGCCTAACCCATCAGGTATTATCCTCTTCTTTATGACTTTTTCTTAAAAGTACTGTATTTAAATTGTGAAGGGCAGACAGCACCAAAAACAAGCACTTCTTATGCCTTTGTTGTTCACTCTCCAGAAATATAAATCCAATCTGAGTAGTTTCCTACTTCAAGAATTTTGAGGAAAAAATATCATCTGATCATTCTCAACTAAGCTAAAGCCCTACTGCACCTTAGCCTTTTAATCAATCACTGGGGGGATTCATATCTGCACTCTTTCTTTGTGTTGCTTTACAATTCTTTCGTCTTTCATATCTGCATCTATTGTTCCGCGTCTAGCTTTTAGTTAAACAAAGAGGGCTGATATTTTGAATGCTTATTCTTTCCAAGGTTATTAGGATTGCTGGTTAGATTGTGAGATCATATTTGTTCTTTCAGCACCCCTTATTGTTTGAATTGCAAATTAATACCCCTAATTAGACGAATTGCAAAATGCAATCCAGCCAAGAATCAAGACTGCCCCGTACTTTTACCTAATTGTCTAAATTTTGCAGGCCCTATTTTGTGTAATTGAAGCTGAATGGACGAAGGCCTTATTTTCTCAACTGTGGATGTAGCAAGTGGTGAGATGCTTGAATATAAAAATTATTAAGATTACTCCTACTACTTTTTTTTACAGTCCTGCTACTACTACTACTACACCTTTTAATCATTTAATGTGTGAATATTATAAGTGAATTTTATTTAGGGGGAGATTAAGATAACACTATTAAAGAGAAATGAAAATAAGAGTAAGAATTGACCTCATGGAATCTTATAGCCTACAGTATACAGGTCTAATTTTGTATAGTATACCACATGACCTATTAGCATTTTTATAAGTGTTAATTTATTTAGATGTCTTTCCTATTAATGGTAACCATATCTTTTAACTTTGATTTATGATGCCTCATGTTTATAGGTTTTGGAAGTGAGAAATGGATTCTACGAGAACTCATGCTTCAACTTTGGATTTTGCTTCTATATACCCTTCATTAATGAAAGTGCATAATTTATGCTACTGCACTCTGGTATATAAATAAAAAGAAAAAAATGCAGTGACATGGCGCTTGATAAGTCCGTTTCGAGGGGACATGGCGCATGATCTGGATTACTATGCCACGAGGGATAAGAGCGTTGGATGGCTTTGAACGGACGCTCAACCTCCTCAGCTTCTCTCTGCACTCGGCACATGAAACCTCTTCACCTCTTTGACCTCAACGCAGATTATTTTTGTCTTTCAATCAATTTTGCCTATGGGGTGCACGACATTGCCGGAGTCATGACGTGCCACAGATTTCCTTGCATTCACGGCCTCTCTCACAAACGAAGAGACGGGTTGAGGTGATTCAGGCGGCGATTGTGGTGGTTTGTTTTTGCTCGATTTTGCCTATGGCGTTGTCTAGAGGCAATTGACGTGGTTGGGCCAGCAAGACCGACAGCTGCAACGACTACAACTACAGGTATTCTTCTTCATCTTCAACTTGGCATCAAGTAAATCCTAAAATTTTTCCCTAATTATTTCAAGCTTAACGGGGAGAGATGCAGGTTTTGGTGCAATCGCCTTTTCCTTCCTTCATCAATCTCTGGTAGAATCGGTTTACAATACTTCCTCTCCAGTGCTTCTCCCGTTCGTCATCGCCCAAGTAATTTCACCTTCCTTTTAATTTGGTTTAGGGATGTTGATTATATAATTTTTGCATGTCTTCACTCGCAATTCCATGTTGAATTGAAGCAAAGATTTATTTGTTCACGCAAAAGACCAATGTTCCCCGTTCCTTTGATTTGGTTTAGGGATATTAATTTTAAATTTCGCATTATCACTCACAATTCTATGTTGAATTAAGGCAAAGATATACTGCCTCCCTTTGAAGCAAATCACTCACACATCACAGAAGGTAAATAAATAGGCAAAAACAAACCACAATTTTGATGCATAACTCTGAATCTAAAGGCAGGTGGATTCACTGGATGGCGTCCAACACACAATTTTGATTTGCGTTTGAGTTTCTTCTGATTTCTGCTGCAATCGACTTACTGGTTTTTCACATGAGGAGTTCGACCTCGCTACAGTTAATGGTGTAACGTCAGGTTTGTAAATTTCCTCCCAATTATTCACAATTAAGATGCATCATTATTTGAGTTTTTCCGCCAGCCCAGGCTGTCATTTATTTGAGATTTTCTACCTGTCTAGGTTGATTTTCTTCCTTTGTTTGTTATATATAAGGATGTTTCTGAGAAACAGGTGTGAGCATATAGTGAAGCAGAGGTGAGATACGTAGATATAGGCATGGCGTCTTCCAATGTGGTACATTGAGGAACATTATTGAAAGATAAATCCCTATCAAAAGTCTGACACGTGAGTTTGGAGTTTGTATGAGTAAGGTTCGTATGGTGTGTCACTCACTCTTCTCCGATTAGCTGAATTTGTCAATGTCACATTGCCCAGAGGTTAATTTTTTTCACCATTTGAATGCATGTTCTTCAAGTTTTTATCTATTTCTGCTTGCAGCCTGTTCTCCCATAGTAAACTTAATTTCTGGTGAGACACCAGTGTTCCCAATGCACCACTTTGATTTAATGGACTTTGATAAGGTCTGCAAGAATGGGTCAATATTACATACTTATAGCTTATTTTGTCTTTTTAAATGTGTTTCTATTGTTGCTGGTTTAGTCAAATTTATATCCTATAGAACGAAAAGTTTTCACAAACATGGTCAGGCATGTTTGCACGGAGGGGAAAGTATTGGTGAAGAAAATTATTGGGCTCAGGTGTATGCCTCATGCTAGAGCTTCAAGATTTAAGGTGTGTTTTTAGTCAACAACCGGCGAATCAGCGACGGATGTTTCTTCCCTAAGCTCAATGTAATTATTCCTTTTCTCTTTAATCATGGTATACTTTGATTTCTATTGTGTTGCCTCTAGGCTAAATTTCATGGCTAGGGCACGGATAGATGAAACATATATACTCAAATTAGTAAACAAAGGGCTAAATTTCATGATACTGTGTATCTTTATGCGTCTTTTAGTCATGATAAATATTGTTTTATGTTCTCAAGCTCCTTGACTTTCTCATATTTCCTTTTTTATTTTTTGTAATATTATTTTATATTCTCAATGTCTATTTTCTAATATCACAATTGAAGAAAAGTCTCATTTAAGACAAACTTTTAGCACACTTGAGAGAAGAGAATTACCAGGGAATTTTTATGCAGCATTTTCCATCCGTGCTCCAAGGCAGAGATCAGTTGATTGCAAGCAACAATCACATATTTATGGTTAACTCACATATCAAAAGACAAAAGATCCTACCTGTATCTTTTAACAAACATGGTAAAAATTTGAGTTCATCTTTTTTATTAGAAAAAAGTTGAATTTCAAAATTGTGTTTTTTAAAATTTTTGCAACTATAATATCAGTTTCGTGTCACTTTCTTTTAGCTAAGTTGTATGATTAACTTTTCATTTCAATTGTGTTAAATATCCCTTTTTTTCATGTTCTACTCTTTATTCATAATGTGTTCAATTACACTCCCTCTGTCCCACTCTTTGTCCACTTTCATTTTGGATATTGTACCAACAAAAAGTGTAAAAGAGTGTAAGCTTACTATTTTTCCCTTGCTTTTTAAGTTAGTGGAGTGGATCAAATATACTTTTCCTAGCCTCCTTCAATAGTGCTTTATGCCTATGGCTTTGATATCAATAAGCTTGGAGTTGGAGGTGGGACAACCCATTGTCTCACCCTCAACGAGATGTTCTGGAAGCTGACGACGGCCATGACAAAGGAAAGAGAATTTCTTCAGCAACAATATAATTTCATCCTCACGTCCAACTTTTGTTTCACAAGTAGTTTGACATCAAAAGAATCACATCCAAAATACAAAAATAATAAAGAAAAAATAATTTCAAGGCCCTTAAAACAAAACAAAGAAAATTGGGTTGTTTTCTAGAAACTATACACAAGAAGACTTGACATCACATTCCCCACTCAAACCAACACAACTATAAGCAGGCTCTTTCTTCACCTCCAAATTGGCCATCAGTCCCCTCAGTTTAGACACATTCCCCCACATGCCCGCGCCCGCATAAACCGAGGACAGCAAGACGCACGTCGATGCCTCAGTGGGCCCCATACTCATGACACGGTTCGCGACCCTCATCCCCATCTCAGCAGCCTCGTGCCTTTTGCAGGCGCTCAAGAGTGCCACCCAAGCAGCTTCGTCCGGTTCAAATGGCATCGTTTAGAGCAGGTTTTCAGCCTCATCAAGAAGCCCAGACCTGCTCAATAGATCCAACAGACACGTATAGTGCTGCAGAGATGGGTTCAGACTATAATCCTCAGTCATGGACTTGAAAAGGCCGCGGCCTCTCTCTACCAAGCCATAGTGGCTACACGCAGAGATTAGTCCCGTGAAAGTGACTTCATTTGGCTTGAACCCCTCTGAGACCATTTCGTCATACAGCGACAAAGCATCGTTTGCTTTCCCATGTTGTGCCATGCCAACAATGATCGATGTCCATGAGACGACGTCTCTAATTGCCATGTCATCGAACACGGTTTTCGATGCCAGCACATCGGAGCACTTGGAATACATGTCCACCAGTGAGTTACTGACAAAGAGGTTGGGTTTGTAACCAAAAATGATGACCAAACAATGGATCTGTTTGCCGAGGTCCAGAGCTGCAAGACTGGAAGAAGCTCCAATGATGCTGGAAAGAACATATGGGTCTGAAATATCAACACCTTCTTTTCTCATTTCGATAAAAAGGCTAAACGCGTCGAAAAATTCCCCACTTTGCACCATTCCAGATATTAATGCAGTCCATGTGGATATGGTTTTCACCTGAGAAGAGCGAAAAAGTTCCATGGCTTCAGGCTTCATCCCATTCCGCGCATACCCAGAAATCATAGCA